AGAAATATAGCAATTAATGAGATTCGTCATCTGATACTCGCTCGAGGCGTATACCTGTTTAATGCGGCTCGCAAGCTTAACTTTCCTACTGAACATTTTTCCTTTCATGTGGACTTTGAGGCTTCCAACGATATCAGACTTTTCAGATTCGAAAAAGTTGCAGCTCACAGATGCAGTCACAAGTAGAACCAGAAGACCTGGCCTCATCTTGCAATGAAAATTTGGGGGGGTTATATCGAAGGGAGTAGCAGATGAGTGATTAGGATAATGTTGTGGCTAATTGTCCTTGGCTCTTATATTTATATGACACATCCGGTGACCTAGGAAAGGTTTTCCATGTTTTTCTTCTGCTTTGCATATCGGAGGAGGAGACATCCCGCATAAAAACTGCCATGTCGGTTTGTACATTTGCAGGCTACTAAAATAGAGTTCAAACATTACTCAAATACCCCATTATTTGTCGAACATTGATGTGTGATAGCATCGACTAGAGGCCCGCTCGGTTTTGCTTTTGTCTCTAGAAGTGTTGCAGACAAAAGCAAAGCAACAAACTTGCAAAGGAACCGATCCTACGAGCTTTTACCTGCCACCCCGGACCATCACCACTGAGCTATTACGCTTCATAACTCCGTTCGGAGAGTCGTTTAGCAGATTTGGAAGGCAGATTTGGAATCAGCGTCTGGAGACGCATCAGGTGGTATACATCTCATTTTATACGGCCACTTCGACCTACCATCCTTTCCTTGTTAGTATTATATACAGTGGAGTAAGAGCACCATAGATCCTTTAGTCTTAATGTATGAAAGTAACGCCGGCAGTACTTATTTCCATGCTCGCTCCCTCGCCGCCGCTGTGACGTCACCAACACGCGAACACGTCCGCCTAGCCGGTGAGCTCTTCCATGCAGCCTATGAGTAATGCGTCCTTAATCCATTCACGACGGAGCACTTTTCCAACTTTTCGGCCACTTGGGACGAACGCGATTTTGTGAGCGCCGCCGCCTTACCTCACATTCCGTGGATTTTGTATTGTAAATGAACAAAAACGGGAAAATGTCACAAAATAACAACAGCATACTCATTGCGTAAAGGTATCTAATCATATAATAGTGGGATTTCAATCAAAACGACGAGTAGCGGTGATGGAAAGATAATATTTATCCCTTTTCCCTGCAGTGGAAGTTGAAAGCGTTTTCAACTGGGTTGTTTCGATTTACCCACCTACCTTTGCATTCATATCGCTTTGCCGTACTCTAGCACTCTTCTCATTCACAAGTTTATGGCAACAGAAAGAAACAGATAAATTAATCAAAAGAAACATTTCATACGGCTCAGAAAGTCTTTCCCAAAACAAAGCATATGTAACCTGCCGTTGAATCATGTCGTTCATGGTTACGTGATAGACCCTATTTCATTCATTAATATCAAAATACTCAAAAAACACGATATAAGACAGGCAAGCGATTATTAGCTGGCAGCCCATATGGGCTGCCATCGTCCCACGAGCACACTTCCTTGGCAGGCCATATGGGCTGCCGCTGGCGTAGATGTGTTGGTAACAGTTTATGGCATAATGCTGTAGAATAGTGCTTATGCACTCGAATGTTGTATTCGCACGCTCTTCGCTCCTGCCCCAACCAAAATGAATAAGAGGTGTTGAAAAATGTCAGAGGAAGTATGCCACGTCCAGCTATATCGGCGTCCTATAGGATAAGTGGTCCATATTCAGTGAAATGCTTCTAAAACAGATTATTGACCATCACTGCTGACGCAATGAATAAAGAAAAAATAGAAGAATTTGCTACCAGCTTCGATAGCATGCAAAAAATAGAGCCTTGCGACAGAGCCCGCTCAGACTATTGACTAGACACTGTTGATTTTGTCGTTGGACGCTCAGACAAGCCTCTCTCGCAGCAAGAACTCGTTCAATCACGCCCATTCAGAGCACAGAAGTGATCAAGTTTAGCTGAACTTCATCTTTGTGTTAAGTCGGTTTCCTGATCGTGTCCCTTTCTTGGCTTTTACACACACAAAAAGGTGGCGTCCCATACTTTTCGACCACTCTGTATAGTAGGGATATTTTGAAGATACCATGCAGACTAAAAATTATTTTGAAGGCCATCGCTTCGTTTGCGCGTTTATTACGCTCTGCCTTCAACCAGTTGTGCCTATCTTATCAATGCTCACTCCAACGCTAACTTTGCTCCTTACCAGCCGGACAAATTACGGGACATGTGGAAATTACTCACACTGAAAAATTTTTGCCACGTTCACCTTTTTCTCGTGTCCGCCCACGGCTTCGGTTTTGCGAAAGTGCAGCCGCTCGAGTTTTGCAAGAACGATCTGCGTGTGCAAAATGTGCCTTTTTGCACACAACTATTTGGCTTGAACATAACACCGTCGCTCTTTCTTTTCTCATTTTTGCACACGAACCTTTGAAGCAAAAACTAAAAAATATAATTCCCATGCAGCGATTTTTTATGTTATCTTACTATTTAATTCCATTTTCTGCACAAAACCACTGTTTGTTATCAGAAAAAAGGATGTTGAACAAACTCCGCGATGTCCTCATTAGTCTCAGTTTGCAAGATGAATGAATACATATGTAAACGAAGGGAAAAGGTAAT